TATCTTTCGTCCACGACATAATTGTTTTTTTGTAACCCAAATGCAATAGTTGCTCGAATGATTCAATTAAACAATGCAATATTCCAAGTCCTAATTTCAAGCAAAATGGATCATTTACTGTAAAATCAATACTTTTATTACAAAAGTCATTCATACTGTGGAGGCACATCGGGCATCGTTGAGTAGCTCTATTTTGAACAATTGCATTAACACATTTTTCATCGAAAACAGTTGTAAAAACAATATACGTAACACTCACATTTTTTCCGTTTAGTAAAATAAAATTGTAAGCCCTTAGATGAGTGATCTCTTCTGAAAATCTATTGTACTCTTTTCTGATCGTATCATTGGCTTCTTTCTCGACTGCTATACGAAAAGATTAGCAAAATTGATAGCCTTGTGGTGCCTCGTTAATATATCTCTCTTTCCCAGCCGCAGACTCAAGCGTACATAGATAAACTATCACAACCAACTGTACAATACAATTGAACGCTTCCTAACGTCTTCTCATCCCACACAAGAGCTACCTACAAGGTCTATCAGCCATCTTATTGAGAAGTTGTGGAGGAGAAACGCACACTTTTACCTATGAGTAAGAAATCTTGCTACGAAGACAGTCTTTCATGGCATCGTGAACTGCATCATAACATGGGTATATTTTGCAATTTTGTATTCTTGCATCTTTTACCAGTATGCTGTAAGACTGCTTGCTCATGTCCGACTCCAAAAAGAAAGCAAGAGCACTTTTATTCGTATGTTTTACAACTTGACCTATAATTCACGTTAGGTAATATTTTTTCATTACAATCATACATAAGTAAGTATCAAAAATTGTTTATGATGAAATTTTGCAGTACTCTTGCAAATAATATATTAAGTTGTTGCATTGAAATTTCTACAAGATAGAAAGTATTTTTATACGTTAATATGCTTGTGTATTACATACTTATAGCATAAAAACTTTAAAATTAACCAATAAAAATAGTAATACAAAAAAGTAATCATCGATACTTTATTTGCACGCAAAAACGTACTTTAGGCGCGTCCATCAATGACGTAAACAACTTTAGGATAAAACGAGAGTATGCTTTTTGTTAGTTGTAACGGGAGGGGTATGGAAAGAAGCTGATACAAAAATAATTTTTACGATTTTAAGAATAGAAGATGCGTTAAGTTAACTAACAAGCATCAAGGAGGGGTAATCCTGAAAAATATAACTGAATCTTGCACTGCAGATTGGGATAGGAGAAATAAAGAAAAAAATTGTTTACACAATCAATGGATGGCTACTTCTTGTAAATGTTACATACATTAACATAAAAGAATTTTAAAAAATTAACGACAACAAAAGATAACTTCGAGCTTGTCATCGTAATTATGTGGTTGCTTAATAAAAAGTGTTGTACATATTTATGTATGAAATACATGCGTTTTAAGTTTTTTAATAGATTAAAAATAAAAATGATCTAACCTGCAATTTCAACTGATTGCATTGCTTCCATTTCATTAATATCGTCAACATTATCGTTAGATGAATCGGCAATCAATCGCTTTTCTGCTATCTGTAATGCTACTTTTAGAACTTCAATGTTTACATTTTCATTTTCAAGTAATTCAAGTGCTCTGCTGCGCCTCGTACTACGAGAAGCAACTTTAATTTTGACTCATTCTCTTTCACTATTCTCACGGACTCTTGGGGATTTCTTTGGATGGCCAGCCATTTTTTTATAAAAGCCGTCATTGTCCACGTGCATACTATCTCCTACTTCCACAGCTCTGCTATTTTTTTCAGTGCACGAATCATTTTGAATAGAGATAGACTTCCTCCCACTGTTTTGGCGAACTGTGCGTATTTTTTCGGGATTTCCAACCTTCTTTCGATTTTTTTTTCCCTCCATGCTTAAATAAAATTATTAAAACTGTATTGCAGCATGCCAACCCGAACATTTTGTTCAATATAAGTGTAAATCAAATAGCTCAACAATTATTTTAGAATCTTATTTCTTATACTTGATATTGCTGTTTGTCACTTACCTTCAAACACTATCGAACAAAGATATACAGTTTTTTTAGAAAAATCACCAGAAGCGTTTAAAAGTTATAAACAATTTTCTTTAATATTTCACTCCGAATTTACGTTTTCCTACCTCTCCTTCAACATCAAATCCTTGAAATCTCCAAAGCTGTACTGCTAGGCTTCTTCAAACTTTTGCTAATGGTAAATAATATTAATCTGTAGCTGTGCTAAGACGTTAAAGGAAATTGTAAGAAATGTCTTTTTACCTTACAACTACCTTAATAAGATTCTACTAGCGTGGTGCCAGTTTAGATGCATGGTTGATGATAAAAAAAATTTTGTCTCTATTTATTTGTTTTATGCACTTTATTAAAGTTGCACAAATTGTTTCTTTCTTAATTTTAGTGTGAATGTAAATCAGGGCATATGAATATGGATAAAAAAATCAATATAGAAAAAATATTTTTTACTAGTAACCATACACCTAATTGACACCACGTGAGTAGTGTCTTATTAAATGTTAAATTCCAAAATCAGCATAAATTTGTACTGAAAGTAAGTGCTACTACGTGCTCCCATTATATTGGCTGTTTTTAAAATTAAAATTGAAGAAATCTTGACAGTGCTACATAGTAACGAGGACTTTGTTTGGAAGAACTCGAAACATATTGTCACAAGTTTTCTAAACGATAAATAGAAGATTGTTGAAAGCAAAAACACAAAGGAAATAATTGGAACTAAAATGTGAACAAAATTTAATAAAAATTTTGATTTTACGTTTTAACGTTTTCTGTAATTTTTTTCTATTTGCAATCTAAGCTTTATGCTCCAACAAAAAATATCGGGTTACTTTTTTTCTTTCTCGAGATATTAGGTCTTAAAGACTAGAAAATTGCATTTTAGGTTATGTTAAAGAATGCGAAAGTTATTATTTTGTTATAATAGCTTTTGATGTTGAAAAACTATTCATTTTATTGATTAATTAGCATTTTTTTAAAATTTAGTTCTAAAAATTCTTTTTTTTTAAGGTTATTCCATTAATTTTGGGGTAAGGATTTCACGTTTTGAAGTTCTCTATAATTTTTTTCTGTTTGCTATCATCTAAGCTTTATGCTCCAACAACAATTTCTGGGATACCTCTTTTCCTTCTCAAGATATAAGATTTTAAAGACTAAAAAATTAAAATCTTAGGCTTTGAGGTTATGTTAAAGAATGCGAAAGTTATTATTTCGTCATTATAGCGTTTAATGTTAAAGAATTATTTATTTTATGGATTACTTAGCATTTTTTTTTTAAATTTAATTCTAAATTTTTTTTTTTTGAGGTTATTCCTTTAATTTTGAGGTGAGGATTTCACGTTTTGAAGTTCTCTACAATTTTTTTCTATTTGCTATCATCTAAGCTTCATGCTTCAACAAAAAATTTTGGGTTACCTCATTTCCTTCTCAAGATATTAGGTTTCTGACACTTCAAACCCGAAATCTCCCACTGTGCGCCATGGCGTCAGCATATATATACCACGCTATCTGTTTTTGGCGCAGCGAAACCTGTCTACAGATTATTTATATATTTCTACATCACCCATGTCTTAAATATAATGTAATTCATGATATGTTTATTGAGTCATTAAAGAAAAGCGTACAGAATAATAAAAAACTTATGGTAAAAGTGGATCTTCCTCCACCCTCTGTGAAGTTGGCTTCTCGAAATCAGTGCTACCAACACACTGTGAGGCGGCAAATTCAAATTTTAAATGAACCTTGGCGCGGTAAATTTAAATTATAAAAAAAAACCTGTGAATTGTATTTAATTCATTTTGTAGTCCTGAAAAGGATTGATTGAAAAAACGCAGGTGTGGCTAAAGAATTTGGGTCGAGATAACAGTACGAGAGTGAATTCAAGCAATGTCTTTTAAAAAAGCTGTAAAGATACATGGTTCTGCAGCTCTCAGTCTATAATATATAAACTGATCCAAATAAAAATCAAAATGGTTTTTACTTTAGTTGGCTGCTGGAAACATTCTTTTAGCTGCAGTCCATAAACCTTCGATTGTATTTGTGCAAGCTCCTGTTAAAGGATCTTTAAAGCTGAGCGAGTGATTGCCCGTTTAGTGTTAATATCCCTCTTTGCCCAAACAATCATAAGCTTACCAACAGTCACTTATGTATGTAGTACCAGGTTTCACATGTTTTTTTATGAGGGGAATCAACGTACTTGCTAATCGATCATCAACACTTACCATGAAACACTTATTACTCTCTCTCTCCCCTCCACCAAACACCCACTGACCTTCAACACGTTTGCCACGATGGTACTTCCACTTTCCGAACTTGGACTCATCAATTTAAAAAAAATTTTCCATTGCCCCGAATCTGCTTGGTCTCCAACAAACGAAAGAGAACCTTAATACACACTTTATGACAGAAACGGTTTTAGAAACAGTTAAATTTTGTACAAGAAATGTTATTACAATTAAAATATTACAAAAATTATTGTGGTTATGTGAATGTGTATGAATGCAGACGTATATGAATAATCTTAATATAGACTTCCTTGACTGATTTCAATAAAACAATTATTAATATTTAAATAGTTAATAAGATCTTATTGCTTATAACATTATAAATCACTGTTATTTTGAAAAATTTATGTTTTCAATTAAATTTAAGAGTTGGATAAATATACAGTAAGAAATTTGGTATTATGATAATGTAATAAACTGCTAATTACTTTTTAATTATTAAGCTAAGATCTACAATGATTATGACAATAACTGCATTATAAAGTTTCTTAACACTGACTAGCAAATGTCAGACCAGTTCATCGAGAAAAACCTTTGTATTCAAAGTAAATAACATAGAAAATGCATATAAATATAAAAATATTTGGAAGGGAAAATATTCCTATTAAGACTATTTAGTGAAAAAAAATTATACATAAACATTTTAAAAGTTTTACTGTAGTTATTATATGTGTGTTACAGGAATTTAAGAGTTTCACACGGATGCGTATCAAAAATACTAAATCGTTATCAAGAAACAGGAAGTATAAGGCCAGGAGTTATAGGAGGCAGTAAACCTAGAGTTACTACTCCAGATATCGAATCAAAAATTGAGATTTATAAACGTGATAATCCAAATATCTATTCCATTGAAATTAGAGATCGACTTATTAAAGAAGGAATTTGTGATAGAACAAGCGTTCCGAGTATATCTGTGATATCTCGCTTGATTAAAGAGCAATATGCTGAAGAAGTTAAACTTGAAGATGGTAAGTATGTAATATTAGGTCAACAACGTATAATTAAAAAAAAAGTTAGTCTTTCTATTATTACTATGGTCTCCATAAGTCTTCATGCATTTCTATTAATTATTATGACTTGGGATTATGACTTAAAATTCTAATTTTTGTTAAAAAAATAATAGCTTTTGCTCGCTTTTTACTAAAGTAAATGGCAGTTTAATAAAAATAATTCTTCACATTTATTTATTTTTATCTTATTCTTAGAACTGATAATATTTATCTAAAAAAAAACAGTTTGCATCATTATATGTATGTCAATTACATTATGGGTGTATATTACTCTTTACTTTAACATGGATAATAGTGCATATTACATTTCACCCAACAAGGTTGAAGATGGTTAATTTTTAGAATAAAAAGTGATTTTAATGCCAAGTCCTCATTATCGTAACAAATGTTTAGTATTAAGGGAACTCTTCTCTTGGGCACCGTAATAACAATTGGAAGAGTCCAGAACTTGTTGAAACTACAACTGCTAGGAATTAGTGGGCCAATCGCAACACTGTTGTTAGAAGCTATGCTTCTTTCCCATAGTAAAAGTATTAAATTCAAAGAAAAACAAAATATTGGATCAGTGAAGGTGAATGCATGTACATATATGAGAAAAGAAGTGATCAATCATACGTATACATACGTTTGTACGTTAACGTACGGGACAATTATATACACGTGCGTACACACATACAACAAATACATGTGTATTAATTGTACATATTTTAAAGACAGTGCACTATAATACAAGAAACTATATATGTATGTGCCTGAGAATGTATAAGCATAAATATATATTTACATATTTGGATAAACATGTTACGACTTCTCTTTCTTTGAGTATAACCCCAGTTAATTGGTGGTGGTAACAATCGGCTAAGAATATTATCTGTACCAAGGAAACTCTAAGATTAGGAACCAACACACAAACAATGTTAGTGTTTATATGTCAGAGGGCAGGTTCGTTGCCCTGTGTAAAAGAGCAAAGTTGCTCAGATTGCCGATTATATAAAATATTTAAAATAATTATTATCAAGTTTCAAAATTTATCTGTTGAATAATTAATTAATTCCTGCACAGTATACAGCAATTATTTTCATCGTTTCCTGAATATTCCCTTAAGTTAATTAATTTAATGTCTTTTTTAACTTATTCAATATCTTTCTAAATCTAATATCTTTTTTAATTAATTCCTACCCTTTTTTGGGTACCGACAATATTCTCAGTTCATATACACAATTTCATAAATATCTTAATAGCTATCAGTCTAGTTTTTATCTTAAACGGTAAAAAAGGAACTTGCAATCATTCGTGATGGGAAAGGTTTGCTTAAATAAGTACAATCAATTTATTTTTAATATCTCCGCTTAGACACGTTAGGTTAGACTAGCACGAATTCTTAGTACAACCACAGAAGGTTAATGTTAGGTAACTACCTATCATACCAAGTCACGTAAGGTTAGGTCGTTCTCAGGGCTCTTGGGTGTCTTGAGTACTGCTCAAGTCATCGACCCAGGAACTTCGCCTAAGAACGTGGTCGCTAACCCTAGTGTCTTGACTTCTTGGGGATGCGTCGTCTCCACGCTTAAAGCGGTCGAGCACCGAAAGTCCAAGTAGGAACCAGTTAGTGGAAGTGTTACCTGTAGGTGGAGTACAAACTTACTTTTAAGCTCTCGACCTTCGTACTTGGTCTCTTTCTCTCCCCTTGTGCTCGTTGCGGTAATGTACCGGTGCACGGAAAAATTCCAGGTCTGGGTGAGCAGCAGATTTTCCACGTCCCAGGCTCGCTGGAGAAGGACTGCATGTACACTGCGCGCTGGTGCCTTTTATGCCAATGTTATTTCCTTTTGAGTAGCAGGTTTTTTCTTTTTTGGGTGAACGCGCTCTAGCGTTTTCTTAACGTACTAGACGCATCTTCCCCGCTCGTGGCGTTCAAATTTGAATTTTCGTGTTTCAAATAGAAATGAAATATATGTAAAAAAAAAAAAAAATGTTTACTCTTGAATTTTCTATTTCAAGGATAAATATAATGTATAGGAGAATCTAAATATAAATGTAAGGCGTATATTATAAATATAAGTGCCCCCTTACAATGTGGATATTGATATTTATATACGTTTACATCACCATACGTATATTATTCATTAGATATGTATACACATGGGTGTGAGTGCGTCATAACGGTAGAAAGGTATATATCTGTATACACAGATAGATTGTAATAAGCATGCCCATATTTACATGAATACACATCTTTTTGCAGACATAGTCGTTTATATACGTATATACGATATATAAACATACATTTAGTCGTGTTCAAATGTAGCAGCTATTTCTACTTGTGACGAGGATTTTTCAGCCGATACACAGCCACCTGGATCCTGTCACGAAAATTCTCTTACGTACATCACTTACCAAGTCTCTACCACTGGATTATTCTTCTCCAGGAGGTCTACCACAGGCGTCCGGCTTTGCTAAAAACTCCTAAACGGAAATTAGAAAGGAAAAAATAAGGCCACTAATAACCAATAAACACAATCATTTAGGTAAATTTTACAGCAAGTTCATGCTATTTATTTGTCCTCTACCCACTCTCGAATATTACACACTTTTTTTTCTCTCTCTCTTCTCTATAAATAGAAGCGTTAATACACAGTACCTTTAAGGTCAGTCTGCCACTCGATGTATGCGTTCCGGTCATCCTCGTTGTCGAAGTTCTCCTTGGCTTAGCTGTCAAAGATCTGCACCTACCTTTCATACGCACGCATGTACCCAGATGCACCATGTGATGCACTCCTCGTAACGGTCACCGTCCTCACTTGCGTAACTAACCCAAAACATCTTGCACACACTCACGCGTCTGTAATATTCACCTAATTCCCACATGTACTCACACACTCGCTCACTTGGATTACTTGGATACCTCTGTCCCTGTACCTGACTCTAATATACTACGCTCAGTACCTTTCTGGTATCCTCACGGTCAAGCTGTGCTAACTGGGGCTCGTCCTAGTCTCAGCGGTGGCTCAGTCACACCAGTAGCTACCGCTAGCCTCCGGTGATTCCCTTCGTGGCAGCTGTCCTTACGTCTCGCTAAATACACTCCTCCACTGGTTCTGTCTCTCTCTCTCTCTCTGTCTCTCTCTCTCTCTGTCTCTCTCTCTCTTTCTGTCTCTCTCTCTCCTCTCTCTCTGCTATTATCTCCTATATCACCTGTCACCTTCACTGTAGTTCTTGACTCTGATCTCTGCGCTCTGCTCTCTCTAATGCCTGGTACCATACGGACTGCGCTATGCAGTAAGTCTGCATTGGTACTCACGCTCCTCATTTTGCATTTTAACACCTCCAACGCTCCTAAGAACCGGTAAATCGTTGACGGTTTCCAAAACTAAGTTCTCGACGCGATGAGTTGGCCCTTAGTTTGTTTTTGATGCGTTGCGAGCTTTTCTATCTCCCTTCTCTCTCTTACACCTACACTCACTCAACCATACCTCGAACACATTCAACTTCTCTCATTGCTTTCGGCCCTACTCACTTCTCTTGGCTCGTAGTCCGTGGCACCGAGACCACACTTTAAGTAATGTGTTAACAAGATGTATTTGTATATATATATCCCTATATTATATAGTTGTATTAATAAAAGTTAGTCTCAGCTCCCCCCACTCTCCCTCTCTCCCCCTCAGCTCCCCCTCCACCTCACCCTCCACCTCACTCCTCACGTCCTCCCTAAAAATACTTATTTATTAAATGTTTTACCATCATAAGTGTTAAAAAATATATAATATTTAATACCCAAGTCATACCTCGTTTTTAGGGTTTTCAAAGTCACTGATCATAGGTCTCCCTCTGTCTATTCGCTCCTCCTTACTTACTCTATGTCTCTGAAGTAGCATTATTTTTTTAACTTAATTGAACTTTTACATTTCAATTCTCTTTCTGGTCCATGTGTACTTTACCCAAATATAAAATTCTTGATTACATGAGGACTTTATTTACAAAAAAACAGAATTCAAGAGAAGGTATAGTTAAATTGACAAACACAAGTAAGCTTTTAAAACAATAATTCATTCTGTTAGCTTAATGTTGTGACATTTCATGCGTCGTTTTAACCTATCTGTTCTTTTAAAACCCTTTCCACATTTTTCACCTATTTCTTTTTCATGGTTTTTATGAATTATCATACGTTTGTTTAAATGTGACTATCTTCAAAGTTACATATTTTTGAATTACTGAAAAATTTCTTGATAAACAATATTGTTTAATTTCTGATTTATTCTCGGATTCAATTTGAATAAAAATTCTTTTTGGATTCTTACGTCTTGATAAGGCAACGTATAATTGTCCGTAAGAGAATAAAAGTTTTTTTATATACAATCCTAAGGAATAAGAACTCTGTCCTTGTGATTTCTCAATAAACATAGAACATGCTAATACAAAGGGAAACTGTTTTCTATAGAAGACAAAAGATAATCATGATGAGGTTCCAGTGTTCAATGTTATTCGAGGAATATAAACTTTGCCTTTTATTCTTTCTTCCGTTATTATTTCTGCTTCTATATGCTTTATTCACGTTTCATCTAACTTAGATTTTAAAGAATTTCAAGCAAAGACTGACAAACACAAATTAATGAAAAAATTGAAGAAGAATAAGGTTCAAGAAGAGTTGATGGCAAAGTTATCGATAATGGTTGATACAGTTAAGCAAGGATCAGGCTCAAAAAATACGGGCAATGTAGCAAGACGCTCTACAAATACGAACATCATCCGTAATCTTTTAATATCATCAGATCCTTTTATTACACCTAAACGAATAAAAGAAGAAAAAAAAGCAAGGAGTTAACTGATGATGCCAAAAAAATTTTAAAAGCGTAACTATTAAGGTACTTGCAGCAATAATATGACCAGTTTGTAATGTAAATAATGTATCAACAGTGTACGAGTACACCTCAGATGGATCACCAAATACTATTGCATTGACTGAAAAATAATTTGTGAGCTATCCTTATGTGTTTTTGATCTGGTCGTTTTATGAGGTGATTTATGACATCGAAGGTTTCATGACATTGAAGGCGATAAAAATGTGAACATATGTCATCTTCAGTTTTATTTATTGTATTATTATAACAATTATTATTTTTTATTAAAATATAATCATCAACCTAATTTAATAGATATCAGTGATTCTAATAGTATAATTATATTTTGAAAGAAATGGTATACAAAGTTTTTGAGGTTATAATGTACAAGCCTTTTTCAATGTGCAGTACTTTTTTCTCTGATAAATACAAATCAATAAATGTCTTTCAAGAAATTTGCTTTTATAAAATGTTCTTGTAGCACTATTACAAGGGTTGAATTTGAAAATTTTGATTTCAAGGTTATGTGTGATACTGAAAATACAGACCGTTCTTTAAAATAAACGATCTTACTGTTTACTTATTTTACTCTCTCGACTTTAACAATTATGTCGACAAATATACAACGTTTTTAAAATATAAGTGTGCGGTTAAACTAAGAGGTTATGTAGGTCCATGTACGAGTGCCCTTGTACTTATAGAGGTTATGCAGGTCCTGCTTTGGTTTTAGAAGTGGCTAATAAACAGCTTTGTGAGTAATATTTTGTAATATGCACATTATTGCAGTACTTTCAACTAGGTCAGATTTAATTTATTTTTTTATACCACGTTATTCATTTTTTTTAGGTGATGTTGCGTTTAATAAAAAAACTGCAGTGATACATTGTAGCTGAGAATCTCTTTTTTGAATAAAAAAAAAAATCAATTAAATCGGTTTCAAATTGTCGTGTCGGCCGATTTTTTGAAAAAAATAGTCGTTTTCTGCCGACTGTGCGCCCCCCCCCCCCACTGACCCCCCACAAAATAAGGTAAGAACCCATCATTTTCTCCCTTATTTTAATACGTTGCAGTTTTTCACAAAACCCCCACAGCCTCCCACAGACCACCCCGCATTTTTTTGTGACCCCCCCACCTCATCCCACACTACTTTTTAGGTATCAGGGATCATACCGTCATTCTCGGACCTTAATGTGTATACTGACGTGTGCAACTGTCTTATCGACATTATTCGTTTCATCGTAAAGAAGACAGTTGAAGTCAAATTGATTTATAGGGGGTCGTTGCGCATAGCATCATTATTATTATATATATTAAATTATAAAGTTAACTGTTTTATTATATAGTTCACAGTGTGGGACATTCCAAACCAATAAGAATATGTTTTTTTCTTACAATAAATCTTTTTTTCATATATTTTTCCACACCACCCAGGAGGCAAATAGATGGACTTCATACATACTAATAATTAATAACCATTCTATTTATACAACTAAATATGACAAGAAACAAATTTGTATCAATTGTGTTTCAATTTATTAGTAAGTATGAAGTTCTTGGTGTGCTAAGCTTTTTTTTTGTTAGCATTTATAATAAAGTATGCGTAAAATTTTTATGTGTATGTATAATATTTTTTTGTATATGAGTNTGTCTTATCGACATTATTCGTTTCATCGTAAAGAAGACAGTTGAAGTCAAATTGATTTATAGGGGTCGTTGCGCATAGCATCATTATTATTATATATATTAAATTATAAAGTTAACTGTTTTATTATATAGTTCACAGTGTGGGACATTCCAAACCAATAAGAATATGTTTTTTTCTTACAATAAATCTTTTTTTCATATATTTTTCCACACCACCCAGGAGGCAAATAGATGGACTTCATACATACTAATAATTAATAACCATTCTATTTATACAACTAAATATGACAAGAAACAAATTTGTATCAATTGTGTTTCAATTTATTAGTAAGTATGAAGTTCTTGGTGTGCTAAGCTTTTTTTTTGTTAGCATTTATAATAAAGTATGCGTAAAATTTTTATGTGTATGTATAATATTTTTTTGTATATGAGTTAATAATACCTATACGTACATAAGTTTGAATTATGTTTGTCATTAATACAAACCGTGGAAGTTTCGCAACAAGATGACTCATTTTAGGAGTCAACTCTTAAAAGCCCTATCAATTCACGAAAACTGTGGTCTATTCCTATTATGCTTTAAATTAGTTGAAATTGCTACAGTAGATATTGAACACAATATATATTTATGGGATAAGTTCATTATAAGTAATAAATTTTGTCTATACATACAAGAATATTTAAATCATGTTCTTATTATTAGATACATTATTACTTATGATCAGAAATTTCTTTCCTAACTATATTCTCAATATCTATAATGTTTTCTCTCTTAATTTGAACAAAAATTCCATTTTTATTTTTGCAACTCGAAAAAGCCACGTACAATTGACCATCAGAAAACTAAGGTTTTTTCAAATATAATCCCACATTATCAAAACTTTGACCTTGAGACTTGTTTATAGTCATAGCAAATGATACAACTAATCTGAATTGTTTTTTATATAAAATAAAAGGTAAAGATGAAGTTTTTCGCTTTGTACGTTATACTTCAACAATTAAGTAATTCGCAATGGTGTAAGATTACATAATCCGTCTGATATACTCAAGTTTTAAATTAACATTACTATTGTACATACTTTTAATTTAAGTTCATGAGATAACACGCCTTGACGAACATTGTTTAACATTTCTATGAAAAAATTCATGTAAATATTATCATCTGATTTATCAACACCTTTGTAGGTTGCAGTATTGATGCTGTTATAAGTTTTATTTTCTCCATTTAATTTACTTAAAATCTTATTGTTTAAGAAATAATTATATTCATTACTTAAAGTTAGTATTACGTTATTACGAAAACAGTTGCTGTAATAACCAAATATTTTGATACAGACATCATCAGTCATCCAGGACTTAGGAATGCCAAATGTTTCTATGTCCCCTTCTTTAATTCTTAATTATGATTTTGAAAATTCTTTATCACTAGAACGAATATTATTTTGTTATCTTAAAATTTCGAAGCAGTTCCATAGACAAAATGATTTAATAATTTCTTTTGTTATGATAGTTCTATTACCATTTTTTATGACTAGAAGGATTTGTCAACAATCTCCCCCTAATACTATTAATTTATTACCAAAGAAAGTTTTTGTTCTACACAAGTCTCTCAACGTACTATCAACAATTTCTAGAGCTTTTTTCGGAATCATAGAAACCTCGTCTTATATCAGCTTCCCTTAAACTTTTTTTTTCAGTTTCAAATTCTAAAAATACTCTCTCAATATTATCTAAATCTAGAGGTTAACGGAAAGTTCTATGACTGGTCATACCTTTTAGTAGTAATACAGATGCAATTCCTGTCCAAGCCATTGACAGAATATTCTTACCTATAGAAAGAAACTAATAAATAAGTGTCTTATTTTAGTAGATTTTTCCAGGTCCTCCAGGACAATCTATGAAATATACTTTTTTACCTTGTTCACAAATAGTTAAAAAAATTTTTTTTGATCTTGAATTCAATTTTCGTACATTATATCAAACATTTTTTTACTTATAGATATTTCCTCAATATTGCAATTATTTATATAGTTACTAATTATTGGTGTCGATAAACTAAAAGACTCACATGATTTACTTTCCGATACTAAAATTTGATTAATGTGTAGAAGAGCACAATTATTATTATTATTATGGAAGTCTTCCGTAAAATATTTTTTATATTTATTCCATATTTTATTTCCTTGAATGTTTTCTGAAATCAAAAACCAAGCAAAAAGTTGTCTTAACTGGTATAGAATTATAATCGTTATTGGTTCTTTAAAAATATTATCAATTTCAGAATTATGTTTAATCTCTATATACCTCTCAAGTCTAGTATCAATAGTAGCTTGATGATATAAAAATATTAACATTATAATAATGTTTATAAGAGAACTCTGTGCACTGCCAATTTCAGGCTACGGTTACACACAGCGGAAAAAGCCAGAGTCACAGCAGAAGAAGAAAAAAGTCCCCTTACCTTCATTTTAATAAAAATATACCTTCACGCCCTGACTTCCGTTACTGAGCGGAAAAGTAGTGTTGAGATGTACTCAAAAAATTTATCACCAGAAGGCAGCATATGTTAGTGAAGTACTTTATTATACCACTGGCATATGTATATTCCATACGAAGCCAAGACACGACTTAAAATTAAATTAAATTATAGCATACTGAATTGAAAATTACACACCCGTTGGTTGTGTAAGGCATTGATGTCACAATTAAATCTGACGAGGTTTTTCACTATGCCAATGACAATAGCATATACGTGCTTATTAACACAGCAATGCAGAGTTGTTATAGCGTTCGTCAGACTGGCTGTGAAATATAAAAAAAATTATCTTAATTTTTATTTTATTTCTACCAAGTTTATTAATTTAAGCCTTCCTTAGCCACTATCCACTACTCCTAAGCTCCTCAATATGATTTATTTAACAGTGAAGTTTTTAACCAATTCAAAAATTGGGGGGTTGGCGCATGAAGCGTGCAGGGGGGTGGAGCCCCACTAATATATATATATACACGATATACATTGCGATTGAACAATTGGTGCGAGTTGCTCGTATGCGATACTCGGCTCCGTAGCACGCCTAGTTGAATTGAGCTGAAGAGAGAACAAACGATGAGAGAGAAAAACAGGTAGTTTAAAAATCAAAAGGGAAATGACGGGTAGAGCAGAAAGGCTCTGGCAGTCTGGAGAGCAACGAGTCCAGGCAGGGAGACGTCTGGGACGTCAATTTTCGTAAGGGTCGTAAGTTTGTGGCCGTGTGCTTTATTTTCTGTTCTACTCTTTTTTTTTGTCATATTTTAAAGTCTGTCACGAGAAACCATACTGCTTCTGTACGAAAAATCCACGTGTGTCCTGATCTACGTGGCATACCTGGTGGATCCGTGTGGGACGCTATGTTTGTTAGAAAAACTTGTACTTCTAATCTTGTTGTATTTAAAGACTCCTATTGTACATGTGCTTAAACATGTGCTACACAACATGTGCTACACAACAC